ATGGACTACGACGTGAGCATAAACAACGAAGCAACAGCTTCGGCTATACAAAAGAACAAAAACTCAATATACACTATACTCTGTTGGCTGGTTGACTGGTTGATTGAATGGATGGCTGGGCTGGCTGGCTGGCTGCTCGAATGTATGAATGTGTGTATTGTGTTGCTATTCTGTGCCGTCGTGCTGTGTTATCGTTTTCAGTAATGTGCTTTGTATACCGAGTGTACATCTGTATGAGTTTGTCTTTCCATATAATCAAGAACTGCAGCAGCAATAATAACAACGACAAGAACAATGAAATCAACAACAGTAGAAGAAATAAAGAAAAATAAAAAATAACAATAGCGAAAAAACACATTTGTGTATTTGTAATGGAATTTCACACCAATGCGGATAAGATATAAATACACATCACTCTGTGGCTTTGTATGAACGCAAAGACAGACACACATGACTCAGTATGACGACCGAACATATAAATGTATCCGTAGAACGCCGTACACCGACATCCGTCCATACCATACAGTCAGTGCATGTATGTGTGCGTTCATGTGAATGATAATATAATCGTTTTATTTCGAATGGCTGCTCGTTTGCTTGCTCGCTCAGTCAGTAAAAACAGTGTTTTATTTTTTTGTAAATGAGGAGGGGGAGCGTGGAGCGGACTATTCGATTATATTGCGTCAACTGATCACAAACAAGTATTCAGATGAAATATGGCAACATGTACATTTTTGGTGAGTCGAGTTGAGTTCGTTGTTGTTGGGCACAAGAAAACCTGTTTGTCTACAGACTGAACACAGAAGAGCCCTGGTCATATGCAATAATAAACTAAAACGTAGGCGTAGTGGCGCTCTTCTACTCTCGTACGAGGTGACTACAAAGACATTGTATAGATGTAGATATGTGTATTCGAGCGCACGTTACCCACGTTTGTACATATATAAAAAAACTATGAACCCCATCACAATACACTGTTGAACAAAACCATATATACAATTTTTATTCATGTTATGAAAACATATTTTTTTATTAATTCCAAATACTATTACGCTGACCAATGTGTGTGCGATCTAAAAATGACAGTGGCAAAATTAAACTTAAAGAACTGAAAATGAAATTGAATAAGTTTCAGTAGTATAAAAATAAAACTAATATTGTCAACGACCGGTATATAGAATGATATATTGTCAGACCCATTCGTTATAGCGAACAATTCGTTATATCACGAAGTTTTTTAACTCATTTGGCGCCAACGTACTTTTAAGAGAACATCAAAAATGTCAATACCACTGTTAGGAAAGAACCTCTATTTCAGTGCATTTCTATAAATGATTTTATTTTGTTGTTAAATCTTGTTCTATACTCTCCTAGCTTCATGCGAAAACAACATTTTACTGAAAAATATTTATTTATTAATAAAATATTTGAAATTTAAAATTTCTGACGTAATCTGGGTAAAGTTGCAATTTTATTTAATAACAAAAATGGCAATCCACATTTCAACGGATTTCCAACAAAAATATAATAACATGTTTACATATGTTTTTATAGGAATACCCCAATATTTTTTGCATCATTCGTTATACCCAGTATACAAATTTAAAAACGTTCGTTATATACGATAGTCTGTGTAAAAATGTCAATATTTTGCTTATTCGTTATATCGTTACACCTAGCGTACATTTACATTGTACTGTATTTAGTAAATTCTGAGAATTTAAGTTATCAACTCCATTGCATAAATGTTAAATAAAGCCTAAAAGTACGTTTAATGGGTTTAAATGGTCAATTCCATTGTATGTATGCCAAATAAATCCTCATAAAGTAGGCTAACCCGGTAAAAAGTTCTAACGTGAATGCCGTTTAACCCGGCAACGAGTTCTAATGTACATGCCGTTAAAAATGTATAATGTTGATTGATTTCGATCGTACCAAAATTCATGCGTATGCGTTCGATTATCTTCACCTCAAAAGTTAAATACATGTATTTCAATGAATTTTACCCAAATATGAATTGCGTATCAAAATATAAAGTTGAAATTTACCTATTTTGATTTTTTTTAAATCGATTTCCATTCATTGAAAATTTTGTGCTTTTAAAAAAGCCGTTGTCAATTGGCACATATGTAAAAAAGGTCCTTGCGCATTTGGGTAATGTGGACGTCGAACAAACCCTATAAAGGTGAGAAGGTGGATATTTTAGTACGCAACGCATTGAATTAGATTCGAGCCTAAAGGTGAGTTTGTAAAAATTTCTTAAATATTCTAAAATTATTAACTGTTGCAATATATAGGAGAGTATGATAATAATCGTTACACAGGAATTTGATTTTATATATTCTGATGTTAATACAATTACCGGCGTATTTTAATATAAATGTCGTTGAAAGACTTACTATTATTCAAATAATACAATAATTGGTCTGTTCCCATATTGCAAGAATCTCATAATTTGTACTATTTTCGTCGATATCATAAAGGACAATTTTTTATCGTAGTAAAAAATGGTACATTCTTGGAGGTCTTGAAACAGGCCAAATATAAATCTGTCTGTCTACAGACAGATAAAAAGTAGTCTATAAAATAGTGCAATTGTTTTTCAAAAGACACACAGTTTAAAATGGTTAAAGTATATTAATGCTATCCTTTCATTCCTCCTTGTTGGTTACATTAATCCCATCCATACATACTTATGTCTTACAGTGTGATAATTAACTAACGATTTTTGGCTCGTTAATTTGCTGTCACATGTCGAAAACGCATATCTTCGAATGATTCTATAGGCGACAAGTATATATTCGCTTCATAGCTCTTTATTCTTTTTTTTTTTTGGCACTAATGCATCATTTCTTCTGTATACATATTCAATGTATTTAAAGAAATCCATTAATTTGTATTTTAGGCATAACCTTATTTCCGTAGATTTCCTTTTAAGTTGTAACCAGCCTAGATTCAATCTAATTTTGTAAAAATTAATAAATAAATTCGCTCATAGGTGCATTAACTGTGTGTATGCCCCACGTACACATACATGTTTTCAGACCCACCCGTTTAAGTCGAAAAATATATATGAAATGAACTTTTTATCAGAGAATATGGCGCCTGCTTGTCTCCAGGTTGGCCATTTCATATTTAGAAATACATCTATATGTGTCGAATTTACATCCATGCAAATGCAAAGGAATTGTGTGACGGAATTGAAGTAATTATGCCAATCAACCAAATAACAGTGGTGTGTCAATACATTTTAATGCTCACCTGATGTGGATGTTTTTTGACGTAACGAATGGACCTCATTCTGTATTGAAAATTAAAATACTATGTATGCATGTTTTTATTCTAAAATAAAAGCCGAAAGTGCAAGTTGCATGCATAGAAAATTTAAGTTTTCGGTTTGTTTTCGACCGTTTATATTTAGCATTACACAGGCACTCGTACGAAAATATGACACATGTATTCATCGCTAAATGTACATACATACATATATATTTAGGGGTATATATAGATTTATACAATTGGCGAATTGAATGATATAAATCTGTGTTATCATCATTGTTGTTTTGTGCATTGTACAAAAAGTACAAAGCGAACTGCTTATCATCTCATAAGCACCACTAACAAAACACATTACTTGAGTTTAGTTATTGCAGTGTAATGTCCACGTATACATATACAAGTGGCAGTTGTTGTGTTCCCCTTTCGTCAATGAACATCCCATCCTGACTAGCCCACCAGCCAGCCAGCCAACCATCTATACATGCCATGTGCATGTAAGTTTTTTCGTTCGTTCGTTTGTCTGCCAGTATGTCTGTTATTTCGTTTCTTCGCCTTTCTATCTTTTCTTGAATGTCCGCACTCGAGTGCCGAGAGACTCATAGATATTCAACACATGCATACCTACAAACAGACGTCGAAGCTGAATCAATGCGAAAGAACATTATACTTGTTCTACCTACACGTTAAGTATACACTGATAGCAACAGTTGATATTTGGGAGAGAGCGCGAGAGAGAGTGACGGGGCAAGACTGAACTCTCTTTAAACATGCACGTACCTACACACACCAACAATTGTCTGTACAAACACGTTATGCATAGGGAGTGTAGTCGGATATGTATGTGTTTGTGTGTGTGTGTTCGTTTGACTGCTGTGAAAGACCAATTACCACTACAACGAAAACACCTAGAGCCAGAATGTCTGCCAGAGTCAGTCGAATTGTACATTAAAATATACTTCTACGGAGTTGCTTAGTTAGTCGGAAAAGAAAAAACACAGCGATCGAACGTGTTCTTGTTATGTGCCGCCATCGTCACTGCCACCACTGCTTGTTTCGTTTCACACCTCGTTTTCCTCTCACCTCTTACCAAGCAACTAACTTGTCAATTGAAAAACTCAAGCTAACAATTAGAATCAGTGAAAAGTGTAAGAACAACAACAACGACTACGTCGGCAACTGTGAGCGCGACAACAATACAAACACTCTGTACACATTCACGCCAAGAGACAAACCGACGGCAGCCAACAACTACGATGTGTTGTTGTATCGGTGAATACCAAAGCGAGCAATCACTATAGCACAGCAAAACAACTAGAACGAGTCTTCGAACTAGAACGCATAACACTTGTGTTTTGGATTTGAAGGTGTTCGGTCGCAAACATAGAAAATAGCTGTGGGAATGAATGTGTTTCAAAAAAATACAAAATAATAACAAAAACAACAAATTTGTGAAGTGTCCAAATTTCACCATTAAAAAATCAACATCATCACTCACTATTGCGACAGCAACGGATAGCAACGAATCACCATATCAAATGTGAACTCGTAACGAAAATAAACGATAAAAAACAAAAACCACAACATTTAAGAAAGCATAACATTGTGAACGGAAGTGCCTATATACAAAATATTTATATGTTAATATTAACATTAGTCGAATACTACTTAACTTGTTACGCAGTATTGCTTTATAAAATAATAAATACGAATATAATACCAACATGGAACATAATGAAAATAGTTCGATGAAAAATATGGATAATGTTCAACAGTGTGCCAGCACAAATAATGGCAGCATAACAGTCAGCCATGAATGCAGAGACACAGTCACACAACCAGAAATAATTTGTAAGAAGTCGGAGGGAGCTTGTCCCAGCACTCCAACTGGTAATGGAAGTAGTGGCCACAAAATGGGTTCCAGGCGTATATTCACGCCACAATTCAAACTGCAGGTTCTAGAATCATATCGCAATGACAATGACTGCAAGGGCAACCAACGCGCAACGGCAAGAAAATACAACATTCACAGAAGACAAATTCAGAAATGGTTACAATGCGAATCTAGTCTACGCTCGTCCGTGGCCAATATCAACCAGAACACCGTGAAACATCAGTTTCACAATATCAGCATTCACCAACACCAACAACATGGTCAAAAATCGGGCATTCCTGGAGCCTCAATTCCGTTGATGAACCAATACGGAACCAACAACAATCACCAACATAGCCATTTGGGACTAGAGGCGACACGAACGGAAGCCCAACATAGTACTATAATTGTGCCATCATTGTCATCTGGAGTTACAACATCGACCACACAAACACAGGGTGTATTTTCCGCTGCCAATTTGGCTGCAGTTGTTGCAGCTGCTGCCGGAGCTGCTATGACTATTACAAGCCCACCATCATCGTCAGCCAATGGATCTTCAGTTTCAAGTGAATCCGTTTCGTCATCGCCTTTACGCCCCCCTCGTGTAATCGGTGCCAGTGGGAGCGCTGCAGCGACAATGTCACCCCTACTCCACCACCATCATCATTACGGTATCCCACCATACATACACCATACACCTGCAACTGTTCAACTGCCAGTACCGATATTAGCACACCACATTTCTCATCCACCACATATACATCAACAAGCCCATCAACATCGAGCATATCAATACCATAACCTGGCGTATACACAATCACTAACACACCAGCCGTCAGACAAGCAGCAGCCGCAGTCATCGTTTTTGTCGTCAATAAGTCAACCCGATGTTAATGCCTCAGCTGCCCCTATCGTCACCGGTAATGGTTTCTCTGCAGCACTGGGAGAGCACGAGCAAAAAGAATCTAGAGATACACAACACACAAGCACTAAATCGAATCCCGAGAATTCTGAGATGGGTCAAAATGGTGCGGAACAAAGCTCTGGAACCAAAATATCGCCATATACAGGTATCGAATTCGGCGCTATTAACAATCTTCATCATCTGTATAAATTCAGAGAGGGTGGATACCAAATGATGTATCCATTAGGACCTATGGATTTGTCGCTACGACCACGAAGAGACTTAAAAACTGATTTACCTCCGATTTCGAATGTTCTAGAAAATGACGCGAATATTGTCGACTTGACCCACCGAAAGCGAAAAGTCTCATCGACGGCAACTAATACCGTTGACGATGGGCCATCCGGCTTGTCCGAAGAAAAACATCCTAAACTTAAAAATTCAACAGAGGATGAAAACAAAACTTCTTCGAACTCTATAAGCGACGACGAAGTCGATATCGAAGTAGGAACAGAGGAAAAACTTCCTCCATCTAAACCAGTTAAACTCTTTAAGCCTTATTTGCTCGATGTAGATGCGGATTCGGAAAGTAGTACTACCGCTCCTCTTACTAGTGGAAGTGATACTACCAGGTATACTGAATCAAGTGATGCTAGTCCCTGGATACGGTATACATCAAGTATTTCGCCGCCCCCACATTGCTATGACACATCTATGGCCCACGTTCATAGTGCTACATTTCAGTACTCCGCTGTGAAAGAAAATTTTACCATAATTTCGCCTTCAATTGAAAATTCGAATTTTCCTGGCGAACTTAAATGCGACGAAGCGAAAAGTGCATTCACCTCCATTCCCACTATCTCCCCCACATCCTTCCGCAGCCCAAAAGGATCGCCCTCTTCGTCAGGCTACGAAAGTTCTTCATCCACCTACAGCGATTCTTCATTTTCTTCCCGTGCCGAATCGTACGCCTACAACCGAACCTATTCCCTTAGCCTGCAGATGCATCCAATACACCACGACCAATTGAATTTACATCGGTCCAAACATGTGGAGAGATGGTTGGAACAAGAGTCTCGCAATTCATCGGAGCCCAATTCCCCCATAGCAATTTTGGCTTAAACCGAAAATGACAACTTTCCCCTTTAGCCATTTGCATTATTTCATATGCCATTCGTAACCATCATACAACTGATACATATCAACTTAGATTTAAGACATTCTTACTCAATAATACAATTTTAATATATATAAAGCGGAGAAAGCTAAAATACAAGAAGGACAATATTTTTCATATACACCTTGAATTGAATGAAATATACATTTAATGTAAACCCTATGAAGGCAATACTGAAAGAAGAATCATTGTGTTATCACCTTTAACATATTTTTAAGTCGGCATGTATAGACGATCTACATGCATATCATTTTTATTTTTAATATTATTATAATTATCTATAAAGATATAAAAAAGCCTATTCTTAAGAAGAAATGTTGTACTGTTTTAAATTAAAAGCTTTAAGATTACTTATTTTTGTTTTTGGAAACGATTAGATGACTTATTTTTGGAAAACGTTCATTCAAATAATTGTGATATAAATTGAACTGTAAAACTACAAATACAAACATATTATATACATATTTACATTTTTAATCACAAAGTTTAGATAGAATCATAGTCCTACAATATTTCTACAGTATTTTTATATATTTACACACACAAATAAACATTGACTAATTTGCATGATATAATTTATGAAATAATAAAATAGAGCATATGATTATATTTACAGAACAAAAAATGTGTTTGATATTATTAGCATAAGAGATGGTCAGTTGGAAAGAGTGACGTAAATGACACACTTTACCGTCACCTAATACATACATCAGAACTAACAAATGTAGAAATTTCTGTTCAAATGGTTTACTACATTGATTTTAAAGTATAGCGATGGCTTCTAATAATAAAAATTTAAAATTTGATATGATTTCTATGACCATTGTCTTATAATTTAAAATCCTACCGAAAATGGAACGGGTTCTATGTCAAACATTCACCTCCCTTGACCCCGAATGCGCCTCTTACGGTTGGTAAAAATACCGTTACATGGAGATAATACGAAAACATGGATCGATATATCTCTTGTTCAATATCAACGTTCTATCTATCCAACAGACATACCGACGGACATATCGCTCATTTGCAGCAACTCAAACAACGTGATTTTCGAGTTAAATATGCACGATTGTTCGCTATAATAGAACTCTTGTTGTGTAAAAAATTCATATGAATATCTCTTACATACTCTAATTGAGAAGCTGTAGGAGTTCCTCCTGACTCCGAATCCGGTCGATATCAAATTATTTTAAATTTTACCTAAAATTTAATTTAAATATATATATATATATATAATCACTTCTTGTATATAAGTATACACCGTGCGGTTTATAGCAATACCCTTCCGATAAATCTTAGGGTTCTAAATGGATAAATGGAACTGTATTATGAAATATATTTTTCCTCAAAATCATTTGATGTGCATGCGGTTACATGGAGATAATACGAAAACATGGATCGGCATATCTCATGTTCAATATCAACGTTCTATCTATCCAACAGACATATCGCGGGCATATACGGACGGACATATCGTTCATTTGCAGCAAAAGAGGCATAACTTAAAAAACGTGATTTTCGAGTTAATGATGCACGATTGTTCGCAATAATAGAACTCATGTTGTGTAAAAAATTCATATGAACACTCTGAGAAGCTTTAGAATTTCCTCCTGATTTCGAATCCGGTCGATATCAAATTATTTTAAATTTTGCTTAAAATTTAATTTAAATATATATATATATATATATATATTGCTATATTGCGGATTATAGCAATACCCTTCCGATAAATCTTAGGGTTCTAAATGGATAAATGGAACTATATTATGAAATATACTTTTTAAGTCGTTTTTTTTTTTTTTTTAAATCGCGAAATCCTCAAAATCATTTGATGTGCATGCGGTTTCTATTTTTTCTTTAGCAAGAAATTTTTCATAGGGCTGTCGTTTATCTGCAGGCATGTCAAGTTCGAAGATGAGCTATATCGGTTCACGTTTAGGCATAGCCTCCAAATTCTAGAGCGCGTTTTTCAACCGAATTCACTGAAATTCGGCACATTGGGTTCTTTTTTATATTCGCCCCTTTTTTATATTAAAATAATTACTGCTTTGTTTTGGGATGTCTCCATATAGCCGCATTCCACCATAGTATGAGGGATATTCTGTACTCGAAATTGTCAGTTTATACCCTACAAATTTAGAATTCTCAGACGATTTAGTCGATTTAGCCATCTGTTGTAATCATTCTACCATCGGAGGATATCGATATAGAAATCTAGAACGTCCGGTTAGAGAATAAAATATATCGGCCCGCATTTAGGCCTATATAAAAATACCTACCGGTTTAATAATTAGGATAAAGGAAGATATTGTGATACAAACTATGCCCTGTAAATTGCACTATTTTGTGGTTATTATAAACATTCTCCAATTTTTCTTATGTACTTTAATAATTCCGGAGTTATAAAGGAGTGAATTTTGTATATATATATATTAGCTGAATTTCAACGAAAAATGGACGCATATAAAAAATTACTTCTTGTGTACATGTATACACCTTGTGGATTATTATAAAAGACTTTAAATAAATCGCAGGGTTCTATGAAATAACCTCAAACTATATTATGAAATAAACATTTTAAATTCCGTCTAAATCATGTAATCCTCAAAATTATTTGATGGCCATGCGGTTTCCAAGCAGGGACGTACGCAGTTTTTTCACAGTAAATTTATGTTTGCAACAGCGATTTTTTTCATTTTGTACTACCGGCATTAGAGAAGGACGTATGTTATACTTAGTTTGTATCGGTATATATCTTTCTGCACCTATGAATAAGAACCTTAGAATCATCTCTTGTATATACCCATATTTTGTGTTAGCATATTTTGTGTTAGATTTAGTACTTTTTAAACTCATCATCTTTTTAGCATTTTTATTTTTTTCTGGATGTTTTTAATATTTCCGCATGTATGCATCACAAAAAATTTTGTTTTTTGATTTCACATCGACCCATTAATGTGCTAGCCTACGAAAACGCACAACGCTTTATTACAATCAATTCGATTTAAAAACGTGCCCGACCGCGATCTGGAGGCTACCAATATCAATATTGATAGTTCTTGGTAGTGAGATTTTCTGTACAATGAGAATCCAAAATTTCAAATTAGAGCCAATTCGGTTGTAAAACGTGGAGTATCCTAAAAACTTTATCAGTAAAGACATTTTTAGAAGGGAGATTTCTACCCAGGGATATCTCAACAAGCAAAATTACAGCAAATTAGGCTGAAAAACTTGCCCAAAGCTTCAAAATATAGAATATTGTGGGGTACCGTTATATAAGGGCTACCGATACATTTCGTTTTCAATACCAAACATCCTAGGAGTATTAGCAATGTATGTGTAACATTTCAAAGCTCTGTCTTCAATACTGTGAGTTATATCGTTATTTAATGAGACGGACGTGACTAAATAAACATACAATATTATTCTGATTAAGAATAAATATGATCTCAGGTGAATATTTCGAGGTGTTGCAAGCAAATTCAAAATACACTCATCCCACCTTGTGTGTATAAAGATTTTTATGAAATACAAATCTCATCTTAATATATAAAAGAGCTTAGTGTTATGTGAGTGACTGACTGATAGATCATCGCCCAGACGAAACGGCTAGCTTGAAATTTTGACTGTGGGTTGTTGTTGGTGTGTAGGCGTAAGATAAGGCTGGGTATTGGATATTCGAACTAGAAGGGTACGAAAAGTACTAAAATGTACCAAATATTGTACCCTTTGCATTAGGCGAACGGGAAGAGCTAGAATTCTGAAATTTAGAATGTGGGTCACAAAAGAGTTTTTGGAAATTCGACCTATAAGTTTACGAAAAATACTAAACTTTACTAAATTTAGTTTTAATTATATATATATATATATATTGAACATATATAGCTAGAATCTTGAAATTTTATATGGAGTACAGGCTGGGACATGGTGTTGATGTATGGAATTGGTTTAAGAAATTCGGACTTAAGTGTATAAAAAGTACAAAATGGTACTAAATTTGGTACTATTTGCATTTAGTTGAGTGTATAAAGATGGAATCCTGATAATCGTAGCTTTAAAAAATCGTACTTATGTGTACAAAAGAACTAAATGGTACTAAATTTGGTGCAAGTTGGATTTAGGTGAAGTTCTTTCTATTAAATGTTAAGAACTTTTTAAAAATGTTCGTCACTTTCTGACATTTTTATACCCTACACAACTATGTTGTCAGGGTATTATAGCTTTGTGCAGGCCCAAAAGTTTGTAACGCCGCGAAATATTGGTCCTAGACCCACCTTTAAGTATACCGATCGTCATATCTCGACTAGCTGAGTCGATCTAGACATGTGTGTCCGTCCGTCCGTCTGTCCATTATAATTTGTAAACACGATACAGGCCACAATTATCTTCACAAAATTTTGCATGTAGAATGGGTTCTGGCCAATGAAGACCCCTATTGTTTTTGGAAAAGATCGGTTAATAATTAGGGGATGAAATGGACCAAAAACTTTACTTTTGTCTGATTTTCTGGTCGCTCCAGAGGCCGCAATTATGGCTCAAACACCGCGAATTTTTGCATGGAGAATGGGATCGGGCCAAAGTATGCCGGTTTTGAAAAAGATCGGTCAATATTTAGCGGGTCAAATGGACTCTGACTTTTTTGTGAAAAATGACAAAATTTGTATTCTATGGCGTATATAAAAGTTGATAGTAGGTTAAAGAGGAGTGGTTGACCTTTAAATTGATACCAATTATAGGGTCGTATGTACTCAGATGTGGGAGCTACACTTAAATATTTACAGGTGCTTACGTATTCAGACATTATTTAGTAACCCAAAACCGCACTAGAGGGCGGAAATATAGCGCTGATCGCTTTGAAAATTTCAATGAGATTCCAGTTATGGTCAAGGACAACGCCTATAACTTTCGGTGATGATCAGAAAATAGTTTTGGGATGAAGTGGACC